GAAATCCTGCAGTGGACACAAGTCAGTGCTAAACTCTGGCCTTGATAACAGGATAATCCTAAGTGAGCCTTGATGGTGGTTGCTAAGTAACCACAAGCTTACCAGACTGCTCAGGGAAGGTGAGAGCCGTTTGGGTGTTTTTGACTGTGAGAGTAGCAGACGTGGAGACGGCAGCCGGGAAAAAAAGCCAAAAGGTGCTGAGGAGAAACAGGGCTGAGAAAAGAAATCCTGAAGGAATGTGTTGTGCTGCAGAGAACGCTAGACTCTATCAGCTGCTGCAGGGAGCCGCTCAGTGTTCAGTGCTACGGCTAACTGTTGCTGGAGCTGGATTTCTGCCACTCTGCTAAGTTCGCTGCAGGCACTGGCTGTTTTTCCCATTCTCAGCTGTCCTTGTGTGACCTATGAGTCCATGCCAAACTCTTAGCAGGGTTTATTGGAGGTAACAGGGTTAGGAGTCAGCAGCACATTTTCACTATGAAATTTCCTTAGCAAAGAAAGAATGGCACTGTAAAAAAAAAAAAAATAAATAAAAATAATAAAAAAATAAAGCCCCCTTCTCCCACAACCACCACCATCTCTGACTGTTAAAAAGGGTAAAAGGGAAATTGAGAGAGGCTGAAGTGTGTGAACACTGGAGGCCAAAAAGAACAGAGATGGTCCAGTGCACACAAATAGGTGGGCTGGATGGAGCAATTTGAAGAAACAAGCCAAACACAAAAACATGTGTAGCACATAAAAGTGACCTATAAATTTCAAGTGTTGCAGACAGAGCACGGGTAATGGTAGGAATTTTAAATGGATTCAGTATTAGATTTATTTATTTATTTATTTATTTATTTATTTACTTATTTATTTATTTGAACCTTTTAAACCCTGAGGGCTTGTATGTGGGCCCACACTTGAGTTCCTCACTCTCATAACTACATACTTTATGAACTATGGGCCGGCTTCCCAGACAGGGAATAAGCCTAGTGCTGGACTACACAGATTTTGAACAGAGATTTCCATCAAAAAGAAAATATAGTCTAGAACTTGCCTTAATCCCTGTCCAGGAATCCAGCCCTACATATTCAAAAGTATACAGACACCTTCTAATTAGTGAAAACAGGCATTCAATTGCACACACTCAGCTTGTACAGTATAATCTCCATAGAACAGCATTGTTAACAGAGTGAGACTCTCTGGAGCAGCCGCACATGAACTTCAGTTCACCATGCTAAAGGCCAAGCATCGACTAGAGGGGTATAAAGCCCCCCAACACTGGACTGAAGAGCAGTGAAACTGTTCTCTGGAGTGATGGAGCTGCATCAGTGCCTTGCAAATTAACAAAACAGTTGTATGTGAATGTGTCACGCCAAAACAATGCTTGCCAAAAGAAGAAAATTGTAATTGTATTAATGTAAATGCCAAATTTATGCACATGTATTACTGACTAGGCCTGAAATAATGGAAACCTCTTAACTTAATGTCACTTATCCTTAATTAAGTGTTTCAAACTTGTTACACGTGTAGATTACTCAACAAAGGCTTAAAACATATTAGTCGATTTAAGTACATTTTCCTAGTAGTGGTTGCACAGGTTGCATTGTTGGGCATAACTGTAAATCCAGTACAAAGGACAAAAGCCAACTACTAGTAAATACTTCTCGATTATACTTCTTTTTCAACATATATAATTATCTTACAACTTGTACTAAATTATTGAAACTGAATATTCAGTTACATTTATAAGAGAAAGAAACATACTTTTTGCTTCTTAGTAAATAAAGGATTGGTACAAATTGCAAAGGCCATGAAACCATTTTCTTTCCAAATGAGTTACAGTTTTTCCTTTTTTTTCATTCATATCACTGTAAAATGTATGTAAACCCATTCCTGCCAAGTATAGGAGAAAAATATCTACACTTTTTCCTCCTTCTCTGTCTCTGGCTGCAATATGCTAAAATATCAACTTATTATTTTGAAATAACTTATTTTCTTGGGATTTTGAGATGTTGAAATGTACATTGACATAATGCTTTTTCACTTAATTTCAAGAAGGTGTGTAAATATTTTTGAATAATGAGCCATTATTATGAGATACTAAGTCAATATTCTGATTATCATAGTAAGTTTTTATTTAATTGTTTCAACATAGTAAGTCAAAGCTTTGACATACCACTGCTGGAAACAGAGAAGGAGAGAAATTTTTTTTTCTTCTTCAGCTGCTGGGAATGGGCTTCCATAACAATGAAAGTGTACTACTACTATGCTAATTCATTTTTGTTCAAGGTCCAGTATTGTTCATTAGTCACTGCACCAAACACATAGTTTGTTAAAATGTTTTAAAAAGGCAGATTCACTAATCTAGCCTATATAGAGTTTGATCCTCACACACAATATTAAAGTTACTTTAAAGTGTACATTAACTGAGCACTTTATTGGGAACACTATACTAAGGGCCTCCCTTTGTCCTCAAAACAGCCTCAGTTCCTGTGGCATGGGTGCCACATGATGTTGGAAATATTTATTTGAGATTTTGGTCCATGTTGACATGATTGCAATATACAATTCCTGCTGATTTTTCAGGTGCACTTTGATGCTGTGAATCTCCCAATCTACCACATCCCAAAGGTGTTCTACTGGATTTGGTGACTAGGAGGGCCACTGAAGAACATTGAATTCATTGTCATGTTCATGAAACCTGTTTGAGACGACTTTTACTTTGTGACATGGTGCATTGTCATGCTGGAAGTAGCCATTAGAATATGGTAAACTGTGTCCATGAAGGGATACCCATGGTCAGAAACATACTTAAATAGGCTGTGGCAACAGGTGCTAATTGATTGGTATAAACAGGCCCAAAATGTGCCAATAAAACATTTCCCACACCATCACACCACTTACACCAGCCTGTTGACACAAGGCGGGTTGGGTCCATGGAGTCATGCTATTGGTGCCAAATTCTGACCCTACCATCTGTGTACCTCAGCAGAAATGGAGACCAAGCTACATTTTGTCAGCCTTCAGCTGTCCAGTTTTGGTGAGCCTGTGCCCACTGCAGCTTTCTGTTCTGACAGAAGTGGAAGCTGATGTGTGTGGATGTTGTAGCCCATCCACCTCAACAGTCAATTTGTTTTCTGCTCACCACAGAGTGGTTATCTGAGTGACTTTAGCCTTTCTGCCAGCACAAACCAGTCTGGCCATTCTTCGTTGATGTCTCTCATCAACAAGGTGTAACTGTCTGCAGCACAATTCTGAGTAAACTCTAGAGACTATTATGCACAAAAAATGTCAGGAGATCAGCAGTTATAGAAATATTCAAACCAGCCTGTCTGGCACCAACAATCATACCATGATCAAAATCACTGAGATCACACTTATTCCCCAATTTGACGGTGGATGTGAACATTACCTGAAGCTGCTGGCCCGAATCTGCAGGATTTTATGCTCTGCACTGCTGCCACATGACTGACTGATTAGGTAATTAAATGAGAAGTTGCTCAGGTGTTCCCAATAAAGTGCTGGGTCAGTGTATTTGAAAATGTCCTGACTCTTAACTTTATTTGTTAAACCTTTTACTTTCATTTTTGAGCATGTTTAAATGGTGACACTTCTTGAGTTTCACTCAAATATATGTTAAACTCCATACAGTTCTGCTTTTAATTCAGTAGGACTTTGCCACAGCACCCATACTTTCACAAGTCTCTGCACTGCAGCTGAGCTACACCTAATCAGCATGTGGATTTCTAACCTACAGACTTTATCTTTCCACGAACGTACAGCCGTTTGAGGGCGGACAATTATGTGGAAGTGAATTACTGGGATGTTCGGTGTTCATTGCATCACCAACTCCTAAGAGTATTTTCTAAGAGTTTTACCATTTCAAAACTCAACATTTTAATGAGAGGGCAAGTGGGAGAGAGAGCGAGAGAGAGAGAGAGAGAGAAAGAGAGAGAGAGAGAGAGAGAGAGAGAGAGAGAGAGAGAGAGAGAGAAGAAATAAAAGAAGAGAGAGAGGAAAGAGAAAAAAAGGATAAAGGAACAGATAGAGAAAGAAACAGAATAAATAGAGAGATAAAAGAAATAAAGACAAAGACAGAGAAAAGACAGAGAAAAGAGGCATAGAGGGTATGAGGCAGAAAGAGAGGAAATGTGAGGGTGAGAAGGAATAAAAAAAGAAAAGAGAGAGAGAGAAGGAGAGTGTGAAGACAGAGAGAGAGAGAGAGAGAGAGAGAGAGAGAGACAAAGAGGGGGAGAAAGAGAGAAGAAATTAAAGAAAAGAGGAAAAAGAAAAGGGATGAAGGAACAGAAAGAGAAAGAGACAGAATAAATAGAGATAAAAGGAATAGATAATAATAAATATAGAAAAAAAGGAACAGTGACAGAGAGAAGAGGACAGAGAGAAGGAGAAAGAGAGTGCGAAGAAAGAGAGAGAGAGATAGAGAAAGAACGAGAAAGAGAAGGAACAGAGCAACACAGAGAGACCCCTAATTCGGTGAGTGTGAGCGCCCCCTGGCGGGATGAGCGCGCTCACTCTTCTTCTCCTGAGCGAAAGAGGGTAAAGAACGGAGAAGAGAATGAAAGCGGAGAAACGGTGACAGGCTGGTATCAGAGTAAGTGTTAACGCGCCTCTCCTCGCGCGCTGCACTCAGCCGTTTCTGAGCGATGACTAAACGAGCTGCGCCGTTTCTGCGCTTTGACCGAGCTCATCTCACTCAGAGCCGGCCGCTCTCCCGCGCGGCGCGCTCACTCCGCGCGCTGACGTTCAGAGCTGATCAGCGCGCGGCACAACACCATTAGCTCGCGGAGGAGAGACACGCAGATGTGAACGCGCGGAGGAGCCGGTGAGCAGCTTTCCCGCGCTTTTACTCTGTATGATCTTTAGAGGGTGATACATTACTGACCATAGCGCTCTCTCTCTTTTTCTCTCTCTCTCTCTCCCTCTCTCTCGCTAACAGGAGGTAATCCCCTCCATGTGAGGAGGCGGCCCGGCTTGCGGAGGCGTGTTGTTTTTCTTTTTTCTTTTACTTTCCTCCCTCGCCCTCATCCCCTCCACCCTCCACCCCCCCTCCTCATTCAAATCCTTTACTGGTCCTATATAAAGCGGGACTCCGGGCGCAGGAGCAGGAGGACAGGAGGAGGAGGAGGAGGAGGAGGAAGAAGAAGAAGAAGAGGAGGCTGCGCAGCCTGAAAACCCCCCGAGATGGAGAGAGTAGGCGAGAGGCGCGCGTGCGCGGCGGGCACGGCGAGCGCGGCGAGCGGCCGCAGGATGATGCAGGACGTGCAGGAGCTGGCGCGCGCGCACGCGGCCAAGGCTCTGCGGAGCGCGGCGGTGTGCGTGCTGCTGCTACCGCGCTTTTTGCTCGCCGCGCTGCTCCTGTGGCTCCTCGACTTCCTATGCATCCGACGGAAGGTGCTCGCGAGGATGCGGGAGCGCGAGGGCGCGGACGGTGACAGCGCGGACGACCCGGCCGTGCGCGTGTCCGACTCGAACCGGATGTTCACGCTGGCGTCGCTGCGCGCCGTGTGGCACGGCCACAAGCTGGACTTCTTCAAGACGGCGCGCGTGGGCGCCGCGGCTCCCAACAGCGAGGTGGTGCCGCTCGTCGAGCACAAGAGGGCGCGCATCCTGGACTACGCGCGCGGCCGCCGGCCGCTCATCCTCAACTTCGGCAGCTGCTCGTGACCGCCGTTCATGCGGCGCTTGGCGGCTTTCCGCCGCCTCGCCGACCAGTACGCGGACATCGCCGACTCGCTGCTCGTGTACATCGAGGAGGCGCACCCGTCGGACGGCTGGGCGAGCTCGGACGCGCCCTTCCAGATCCCGCGCCACCGCTGCCTGGAGGACCGGCTGCGCGCGGCGCAGTTCATGAACGCCACGGTGCCCGGCAGCATGATGGTGGTGGACACGATGGAGAACGCGGCGAACGCGGCGTACGGCGCCTACTTCGAGCGCCTCTACATCGTCAAGGACGAGGTGGTGGTGTACCAGGGCGGCAGGGGACCCGAGGGCTATCGGATATCCGAACTGAGATGCTGGCTCGAGCGCTACCGCAGCGAGCTCGAGGGCTCCAGGGCCGTGGTGGTGCACGTGTAGGACATGAAACAAAACAAAACAAACAAGAGAAGGAAACGGTGCACGAGGAGCGCGTGAACGGAAGGAGTGGTGATGGTGGTGGTGTTTCTGTTGTTATTTGTTATTGTTGTTGTTATTGTTGTTGTTGTCATCAGCGGTGCGAACGCATCATCCTCAGAGACTGACGACTAAGCTCAGACTAAAAAAAACTAATGGAATCCACTCTTATGTTTGTTCATGTTGATTATCTCCTTGTTGTGGAGCGGTTTATTTTTGTATGGTCTGTACTGTGTGTGTGTGCGTGTGTGTGTGTGTGTGTGTGTGTAAATAGAGAGACTGTGTGTGTGTGTGTACGTGAATGATGAGAATGTGTGTGTGTGTGTGTGTGTGTGTGTACGTGAATGATGAGAATGTGTGTGTGTGTGTGTGTACGTGAATGATGAGAATGTGTGTGTGTGTGTGTGTGTGTGTGTGTGTGTGTGTGCACGTGAATGATGAGAATGTGTGTGTGTGTGTGTGTAAATGGAGAGACTGTGTGTAAATGGGGAGACTGTTTGCTGTGTGTGTGTGTAAATGGGGAGACAGTGTGTGTGCGTGGCCATTAGGCTGTTTTATTGTACTCTGGTGTTGTTGTGAAGTTCGGTTTTTAAAAGGATTTGAGCCAGAAAACCGGTACTGATGTATTTTGACGCTAGAGTACTTGCAGACAGAAGAATGGCCTTTAATACTAAATTGCCAAACATTGTTTCGTAAATTGTGTATATTTTATTGAGCAAATATTTTTTAAATAAATAATAGAACACCTACTTATTACCTTATTATTATTATTATTATTATGTGTGCATGTTTTAGTGTATTTGAGTGTTCTGTATGCAGGCAATCAAATGCTATAAGCTTTGCAGTGGGGCTTTTCTTTTCTTGCTTCATATCTTTCCACTGAGGTCCACTTATAACATTTATGTGGTTTTATGAACCAAAAGCAGTTATCATTCATTTTTACCTGGCCATTTTTCAACCTCTCCTTTTTAAGCGTAGCTCTAAAATTAAACAAGCTGTGCCTTTATGACTGATATAGGCAAACGGCATTTGTTCTGATTGGCTGCCATGTATTATACCACATTCCAAAAGTAACTTCAGTGTGACATCACAAACACTATGAATTCAAAACGGGCTGTTTTTGGCAGCTTGTTTTACATATATGGGATGTACAGACTAATGAGTGATTGTGAAACTTCAACAATGCTCACATACTACACCAAACTCTTTTATTTATAAAAACGGAAAAAGTCAGTTTTTCATAATATGGGCCCTTTAAGATTCTTAATCAGCAAATGTTTGAAGGCTTGAAATTAATTGATGCAGCAATTTAGAGATTAATAATTACATGCTTCAGGCCTGAGAGTACGCTCTTTCTATCTTTTATTCTGCATAACACACACACAAGAAACTAGGCTAATATAAATAAGAATGAGAGTGCCACTTTTGCTAATTTACTCAAGATCCACAGGTTCAAGGGAAGTTTTAAATGCCACTAATTAACCCACCCACATTTAGTTGGATTACTGTAGTAATAATAAGGGTACATTTGGTTATCTCAGTGTTTCAGTTTGGCCGAAAGTAGCGGCTCACGATGCTCGGGTGATCTATCCACATGACTGTTTCTGTCTGGGCTTTTTTTTCCCTTTTGCAGCCTATGAAATTCAGACAGCAAACTTGCGTCATCCTCAAGGTTTCTATGCTGATTACTTTTAAGGGATTTGTACAACCAGCATTACAAGGGTGAATCACTTCAGCTTATAAATACTGAGACGCAGGCGGGTGGCTTCTTTGTAGAAACGGTAGGAACTGTCGCTACTTGGGAGGTTTTCTCGCAAGCAAGTTTTGTAGAATTACTGAGCGCTGCGGTTTTGAGGGCACTGTTAGGTAAGGTTTGATGTGGTACACATTTAACTTCACATGACTGTAAATGCTGATTTTGTAACACGCAAGCCTCCTAATCCTGCGCTTTACCTGTATAAACACGATAGCACAGCAGATCCCTTGGTACCTCTGCTACGATAGTCGTATTGCTTTCAAGATGAACGTGACCCGTCCAGTATCTAGGCAGATTAAAGCACAAATGAATGTTTTGGATAAGGACTGTTCATGCTGATTTCCTACCACTGAGTGTTTTTACGGGGTGACTTGTAATTATTGGGCCTTGGACACAAAGCAGTGCCCTTTGAATGAGAAGCCGAGTACACACACATGAACCCACACACACTCTCTCTCTCTCTCCTCTCTCGCTCTCTCGCCCTCTCTCTGAGCATCGAGCAGCAGGCAATGTGATTGGGTCCCACGTGGCAGCCGTCCGCGCTGCTTGATTTAATGTATTCAGTCCTGGGTGAGTAGCCCTTTAATCTGTGCGCAGTGTTAGCAGTGTGTGTTCCTCTCAGCTTCTGTCATGGAGCAGTGTGATCAGCCGGCCTGCTCGCTGTGAAGATGCTGCAGCGTTCAGGCTGAAGCCGCCCTCAGATACAGGGAGGGGCTGGTCACTCACCTATTAGGCTTGTCACTGTCCACTCCCTCCAGACACCTTTCCCCAATTCACCAAACAGTGCTGCGTGATGGATTTACCAAACATATGCAGCGACAGGCCCAGTCAGGCATTCACCTTAAGGATTTTGTGAATTTGATGGCACACCATTCGGGCTGCGGAAGCTCCCATGGCTCTCTGAGGTTCTGAGAAGTCATTTCTGCGTTATTCAAGGATGCTGCAGTGAATCACACAGACTCAAGAGGGCCTGGGAACGCTGAAGTGAATTCCAATGACACGAATACATAGTCACCATTCTGCTCACTGTATTTTTTTCTGAGTCAAGCCGGTCTGGTCTTTGTTGGTACCGTCTACAAAAACACTTTGAAATAAAATAAATGAAGGGTTTTTATTACAAAACACACTATTGATCATTTTCAGGAATTTTAATTTTTTTCATGACGTTGTTTGAAGAGGAATTTACAAATCTAAAATTTATCAATGCTATGTTATGATTAATATCAGTTTTATTAAAGAAATAAAAATTTGTTTTCTACATCAGTTGTTGTTCTTTTTGAAAAAAATGTTATATCCAAAATTGTTACAAACAGATATACAGTGTTTTGGAATTAAACCCTTCAAATATGAATACACCAAGAATCTGATTCATCTGTTCATGGTGTAAACATGTTATGATAAACACATCAGTAGAAATGGTTCAAAATTGGTTGAAATGCAATATTTTTATATTAACATACATCAGTGGTGTACACAGAATAAATGTTTGGGTAGGCCTGTGAAAAAGTGGATAGACCAACTTGGTAGATACAATTTCCAAACAAGCTAATGTCCTGTAATGTCATTAAATCAGGCTGTAGTCCATTCTTAACAGTATCACAATCATCACTCTCAACAAGTTAATACAAACCAATAGCAATCAACCAGAAAGCCAGATTCATATAAACACAATCAACACTGCAGCACCCTTCACTATGAAGCATGCACCCAACAGGCACATTTTCCCAATGAAGACAACACAACTAAGTTAAAATCAGGCAGCTGAGTTGTACAAAGACAAGTAAACAAAATCACAGCAAACTAAAAACCTAAAGCTAATCATCATAGGCTAAAGCATACTAGCATGGCAGGCATGAAAGATGTTTTTGAGTCATTTATGTCTTTCACAAAGCCCATGACAGCTTTTATAGTAAAAGAGCACTGTAAGTACCAAATTTTCAGATGGTGTTTTAAAATTTGTTTTAGCTCTGGATGTGTAGAAAATGACATACTTTGTGGAATGAAATCTCACTTTTAAATGTCTCCAAGTAACATCTTTGAGGGCAGTGACTAAAAGGCTAAGAGATGAAATCAACTTAAAAAATCAGATTAATAAATGTTCTGTCCCTATTTGATTAGGTAGGCCTGTGATCAATCTGTGTAGGCCATTTTCTTAAATAAAATCTGACCCTAAAGAAAGATTTCAATGAAAAAAAAATATGCATTGTAGCTATATGGGCCTAATTAGAAAGTATTTATTACTTCCAGTAACTCAATAACATGTTCATCATGTGAATGCAGGGTTCTCATAAACCTGTATATGAAGTTCACATGAGCTCAACAGAGTAAACACTGTTTCCAGTTTTCATCACCAGCATCCAGTGACAGCGACAGCGGCTGCATGTTCCATCTCCTCCACCACTGTAGTCTCTCACCCTCATATGACTATGGTGTATCTTGTTTCACAGGGAAACAAAGCTTTCAACTTCAATGTGGCTTTTGTGAGTTTGCTGCTTGTTTATTCATCTATATTTCTGCTGCAAGCACTGTCCAGTGTAATCTGCAGAAGATGTCCTCTGGTGCTCATGCTACTGCTTTTACTGATCAGTACGGTCACTGGCTAATAAAATGAACAAACTGTCTGCTCTAACATGGACACAATGGGAATACCGGGAATGCAGCATTCTGTGCTTCACAGAGTCTGTGCATACCAGACCCTCATGTTCATCTGAATGGTTTTACTCCTGTGAGGGCGGACAGAGTCTAACAAACTGGTAAAACGAAGGAGGTGGGCTGGCTGTGTTCATGAACGACAGATGGTGTAATCCTGGTCACATCACAGTTAAGGAAGTGGTATGCAAGCCAGACATTGAACTGTGTGTTGTTGCTATGTGCCCGTACTATCTGCTACTCAAATTTTTCCACGTCAGCCTGTGTGCTGTGTACATTCCACCTTCAGCCAATGATGACACAGCATGTGACGTCATCCACACGACCATTGCGACAGTGCAAAACCAGAGCCCTAGTGCATTCATTGCAGTGTCTGGAGAGACTTCAACCACGTTTCCCTCTCATCATGTCTGCCCACTTTCAGCGAGTTTGTGGGCTGCAAGATGAGACAGATCAAGACACAGGACCTGCTGTATGCCAGTGCTGAAGAAGCATATAATTCTACAGCTCTTCCCACGCTGGGCCGTTCAGACCATAACCTGGTTCACATCACTTCACGGTACAAGCCCATGCCTCTGAGACAGGTCTATCTACAAGGTATCTACAAGGACAGTGAGGAAGTGGTCACCTGAGACTCTAGAAACACTGAGGGGCTGTCTTGTGGCTACACAATGGGATGTCCTGTGTGAACCACATGGTGAAGACATCGGTGCAATAACATCATGCATCACTGACTACATCAGCTTCTGTATGGGCTCTGTTTTACCCTCCAAGACAGTCTGATGCTTTCCCAACAACAAACCCTGGGTTACCAGTGACTTGAAGTCTTTGCTGAACCAGAAGAATAGAGTATTTAGGGCAGGGGATAGGGAGGAACTGAAGAGGGTACAAAAAGAGCTTAAAAACAGGATTAAGAAGGCCAAAGAGGAATACAAGTCCAAGCTGGAAAACAAATTGGAGCTGAATAACACTCAGGAGGTGTGGAGAGGCCTGAAAGATATTACTGGCTTCAACCACCGCAGCCCTATCCCAGCAGAGGGTAAGTACGAATAGGAGAATAAGTTTGTTTTGTTTATACGGTTTGACATCGCTCCCTTGTTCCTGTTTCTTACACAGATTAACATACATGCAAAACAATGCCATGGGTCATTCACAGCCTCACTGTCCTCCACCACAACATTCACACCTATGGCCATCAGCAACCGCTGTCTTTAATATATGCCTCTCACCTGGACACATTAGGCAGGACTGTGAGGATCATGTTCTTCGATTTTTCCAGTGCATTCAACACCATACAGCCTGTGCTGTTAGGGGAGAAGCTTCGGCTGATGCAGGTGGATGATT